AAAATCAGTTTGCCTTGTGAGTACCACTGGCTTTGCAATTTTGTTGTGACTGATTTTTAAATTATTTGGGGTTGATAACTCTTTTTTGCAAGAGTTATCATTGTTAAGTATACCTGACTAGATTTAGGCTTACCTAAATGTGGGTGACCTAAGAAAGGGGTCCAGGCATCACTGGGCCTCCAGGAGAAAGAACCGTGTTCACTTAAGTGAGGCTGAAGTATCTCTGAGGTTTGAGAAGAGACTGTTCTAGGTAACATAGAACATAGACACGTGGAATGGACAAAGGTAAAAAAATTAACAACAAATGGTCTGGCAAGGCCCTAACACCCTCCAGTTCTTTATGCATGAGAAGTTTCAGATGCACGATGAATAGACCCTTTACAGGGTGCAGCATTCCTCTGTGCGCATGCACCAAAGTTTATCCATGCAGTCCTTGATGGGCGCGAGGTCATTTCTCTCTTGTTGCGACAACAGTGAACAACGGTGTACATTGATCTGTTCTTATCAACAGCTCCTGATTTTGCTAGAATATGTAACTAACAGTGGGATTGCTGAACTGTGAGGCATTACCCTTTCCAACATTTTAAGTCAGCCTGGCTGACTTCCACGGCAGTTTTACCATTTTATATTACACCAACAGTGTTTGAGGGTTTGTCTCGCCACACCTCAGCTAGCATTTATATTTTGGCAGTGCTTTTGATTTTGCCATTGGCACTCGGGGGAGATGACGGCTCACTGTGGACTTGACTTGCACCCCTCTGATGACTAATGAAGGAGCCCTGGTGGTGTGGAGTGTTACGCCCTGGCTGCTCCCCACAAACACACCAGCAGCTCCGAGGGAAAGATGACGCACTCTGCTCCCCTCCACCAGAAGTGCAGTGTCTGAAACCCCAAGGAGTGGGTGTCTCTACTCCATAGGGCTGCTCTTAGCCAGAATCAACCTGATGGCAGGTAGTCAATGGTCAATGAGCATGAGCCTTTCTTGAGGTATTTGTTGGTGACCTGAACATCTTCCTTCATCTGTTCATGACTACTGCACATTTTAATTGCTTATCTTTGTTTTTGAAGCTTCCTATACAAACGCTAAGAGATTTTAAAGATTAGAAGCTTTCATTATTAAAAATACTTTTCAAATGGGTAGGTTCCCTTTTGAGTGAAGTCTTTTAAGACAAACAACTGTTTGATTTTTATGAGGTCAGAGAGGTCTGGTCTGCCTTCTGTAGTTTGTACATTTTTAGATCCGTATGACAGTGTACTAGGGCTAGGTAAGAGGGGACCTCACTTTGTCCTTAAGAGCCCTGGAAGCATACTGGTTATGTGTTAGGCTGCTAGTTGCAAGGTTAGCAATTTGAAACCACTGGGTGCTTTGTGGGAGAAAGACAAGGCTTTCTCTTTCCCGCAAAGAGATCAAGTCTGAGAAACCCACAGGAGCAGTCCTACCCTGTCCTTATAGGATCCCTCTAAGTAGAAATCAACTCTCAGGCAGTTTCACACTTGTCCTTGCCTTTTTCCATGGGTAACCTACAGTTGTACTTTTTTCATTTAGGTCTGTGAACCGTCTTGACTTAGTTTCTGTATAGGGTGTGAGGCGTGGGTCCTGCTTCACTCTTCGGCAAATGGAGAACCCAGCCGTGCAAGTGCTGTGGTTAAACAATCTCTGGTCCTGATTTAATGAGTTTCAGTACTGTGTAAGTGACCAACTGTCCACAGGCAGGCAGACTGTCCCACTGCAGGGGAGTGGGGGTGGGGGAGGTGGGAGCAGGTGTGTGTGTGTGTGTGATCATGACTGTGGCTGTGTAGGTAGGTAGGTGGGTGGGTAGGTCGGTAGGTGTGTGTCTGTGTATGTGTGATTGGACCGGTCCCAGGCTACGCTGATGACTGCAGCTATGGAGGAGGCCTTGAAATGCGGACATGGGAGGCCTCCTCCTTCGTTCTTCTTTGTTCACTGGCTGTTTACCAGGGTCTCTTCTGTCCATACAAAGCGGGTGTTCGTTTCTCCACCTATTTAATGCATGCTGATCGGAACTGGACCATGATTCCATTGTATTCCTGAAAAGTGTGTTGGCTTTTCAAAAAGGTACATTGGGGTGCTCCTGAGAACACTGGGGACCTATCAGTCAAGAGCCTCTTTTGTACATCACGCCAATTAGCTACTCTAAGGATGCACTGGTCATCTTTGTTCCATGAGGGGAAAACCCTACACCCTGCCCAGTACTCTCTCACCAGTCACCGCTGCCCAGCGCCTGGCCAGTGCCACTGTCACCAAGGGGAGAGACACAGCCGCTGCTCTCCTCAGCAGAGCCACCAGGAAGATAAACAGATGAGTCCATGTGCAATGAAAAGCCGGCCCCAGCTCTGTATCTGTAAGATCAATCAGGACATTTCAAGGAATTGGCAAGAAAGAAGAGGAACAGCTCTTCAAAACTGAGCCACAGGCACTTCATGACCCTTGAAATAGTGTCCACGGGTCGGCCAGGTGAACACACAGCCCAGCTGCTACCACGCCGGCCTCCAGGCGCTTCGTTCCGCACATGCTTCCGAGGGGCCTCTCGCGGCCCCATCCAGCCTCCCGCCCCAGCAAACACAGACACCCTGGCAATCCCTCCCCTCACTAAGGAATGTTGAGCCATGCCTAACTTCAGCTCTACTGCATATGCAGCTTCTACATTAGTCTAGTTCCTCCTCTGCCCGTGTCCCCCCAGCAGCCTGTGCAGAGGGGAAAAGGGAAGAAAGAACAGGCCAAGGCCAAAAAGAAAAGAGGATCATTCTGAAGAACTAAGAGTTATTTCCCACAGAGAAGACTGGACATGAGACAGGACCTTGCAACTTTGCTGTGGCTAAGCGTCCAGCCATGAACCTCTGAAGGTGGGCCGAGTCACCCTGATCCCTCTCTAGTGTGGGGTGGCTGTCCAAGGCCTCTGTTGTCGTCCCCTGACCCCCACCGTAGCAGCATCTGCCCCCTCCCCTTGGTCAAATCCCATTATAAAACCTTCCCCTGGAAAGCTTGCAGCAGAGCAGGCCTTGGCTCTAACCGAGTCGTTCCCCATATTTTTTCATTCTCGGCTCCTGGAGGAGCCTCTTAAGAAACATTCCAATTCGCTGTCTCCATGAAATTTTAATCCCATGGATGCACTATACTTCTGCTGGGTACTCTGTGCATATCTGCGTGCTACATGTAAAAAGGGTTAGTTTCATCCTTCATACTTACGCTTTGTATTTGATGCTGTCTTAAGAATGGATAAATAAAATATTTAAGTCAAAAGTTAAATTAAAAATTAAAAAGCTAAAATAAAAGCTATTAACAGCTGATCTAACTTATACTTGCTAAACAACTTTCACTATTCTTTATTTATGTAAATTCTAAAGTGTTAACTTGTGTATGCAAATTTGCAATTTGTATAGGTGACAGTAATATAACAAAATGTATTTTAAAAATCATTCAAAATGTAATTGTGAAAGAATTTAAAAATTACTTTTATAAAAGTTATTCCAATGACAGTAATTAAATGCCATTAGATATAAAAAATAATCAGTAACATTTTGCTTCACCAGCTAGCTTACTGGCCAAGCATTCAGATACTATTTAAATTTTTTTCTTTTCAGCGCTTGATAGAATGACTGCTAGGTTGGGCATTTTTGTAAAACCAAGTAGCAAAATGTCAACTATTTTATTTCATTCTCTAAACCCAAGTCACACACAAAAGCAGGAGAATCCAGGCAGCCAAGAGCCTCCACAGGGCACCTCTCACAATAGGATGTGGACCAGCATTTAACCCAACATTCTCTCACTCGAAGCCATGGCTCATGGCTCTGTCGCCCTTGTCGCTCTCTGAGAACCTCGAAACTAAGAGACAGCAAAGGTCCCCAACGAGGGAAATGGAACAGTAAGCTTAGGGAGGGCTTTCTCGGGTAGGGTTGAGCCTTGGTGGCCACAGGCTACTAGCATATCGAGAGTTTTTCACCACTTTCTCCCAAGAATCCATTTCTGCTCCCTGGGGGAGTTGAACAAGGATCCCTGCGCCAGTGGAACAACTGGACGCTGAGTGTCAGCATGGAACCTCCAGCAGCTCCACAGGAGAAACACCTGGAGGTCAGCTTCTCAGAAACCCTGGGGAGGACTTCCCTTTCTCCCAGCGTCCCAGCAACTTGCTGGCTGTGTGGTGAAAATGCTCAGCAGGACCCACACGTGGGTCCGGAGGGATGACCGCTCCTCAGTGCCAGAGTGCCCACAACGCTTAGGAGATTCTGAAGACAGACCTGGCACCAAACATGTCACTTACACAACCTGGAACCAAACAAATCCACAGCTCCGGGATGGGGACAGCAGTGCAAAGACAACAGGAATTGCCAAATGACTACGATCCGCCATTGAAAACCATCGTCCCCCCTTGGGTCTTGAGAAAGTTCCGACGGTGTATCGATCATCTCGACTGCCGCGCATTACACTCAGCTTCGCATCAGTGTGTGTTTTTCCATATGGTTTCAGAACCTTGAGAAAATGCTCCTATTCGTTTTCCCCATCCAAGATTCCAAATGCTGTACTGGTCAGTCACTTGGCTTTAGCCAAGTGCATAGGGATAGTCACTGCCTAAAATCCCCTTAGTCAGCACACTGGCTGTAACAGCGTGGCTTCATTTACACGGGTGGCTCGGGGCTGACTCTTTACTCTGCCAATAAAACCAAAGCACACACCGCCATTAATCGGCTTCAACTCATGGTGACGCTCTAAGATGGAGCAAAACTGCCCCACAGTGTTTCCCAGAAGAAGGCTGCCTCATCTTTCTTTCTCCCATGGAGGGTCTGAGGGGTTTAAACTACAGACCTTTTGGTTAGCACTTGCTGCCTGGAATAATTCATTACAAGCATCTAAACTATAAAACACATTGTAAAGATTTTCACAGACCACTAGCCCAGCCCAACTGGTGACCTGGTGATGGGTGTTCTGTGCTGAGAAAGGTTTCTTTCGCCACAAGAGTCACTTCCACCAGCACACCAAAGCGGCCCTCACCTGCGATGCTTTTAGTAGAAATGGTGAGAACTCCAACGACGTTTGTGAGCAGCGGCCTCAGGAGCTCGTCCTGGCCCACTAAGCCAGGGTCGACCAGCAGGCAGGACTGCAGCAGCCTGGTCACAGAGGACAGGTACTCCAGGAGGAAGGAGACCTGCCAGAAAGGAGACCAGTCACAGAAGCAAGCAGAGCACAAAGCCCATCACCGGGCGAAAGCAGCTTACTTCTCCAGGCGTTATCAGAAAGCACTTACTGCAGAGTGCGATGACTTTAAAAAAAACAAAAACAAAAGAACCCTAACAAAACGTTCTAATTTTTAGAAATGATCTCAACTGAAAACACAGCAGACCAAACAACAGTTTTCTCAGACGATCAGCATTCCTAGCCATATCAACAGGGTCAGTTGCAGTAACATCAAACAGAGTGATAGTTTCAAAGCTAAACTTTGAATTCCATTTAGAGAAAGAAAGCCTTTATCGCCGCCAAGTAGCTCAACTGTAGAATCGATATCCTGGAAGATGCCGAAAAGGGCATTCTAAAGCCAGACCATCTACAATTCTATAAAGAAAGATTAGAAAATTGTCTTTAAAGTGGTCAACTGCAGCAAAGAGAAGCGGGGACAAATCTAATAGCCGAGCTCTTACTACTGAAGAGAGACAAGCCTGCCCCCCACCCCCAACCCCTTTCTCTCGTGGACCCCCACCAGCCTCCAGCACAGAAACGAAATTCCTGTTTGGGAGGAAAAACCAAATCTTCTGCCACCATTGCTGATAAAACCATCTCTGGAATGCTGTTTGGTACTACAGTTGCAATAGCACTAACTGGCAAAAATGCTCTGAAAACACTATGTCCAGGATCCACCATGACTGCAGAAGGGCTGTGGTGTTTGTTTTCCACTCTCCTCAGGCAAAGAGATGCTTAGTCCAGGTAAGGGGAGCACTGCAGACATATTCAGACATCACTCAGTCTCTGCCTCTGTATCTCTATATATACACACACACACACACACACACGCATATACATGGATATATACTCACATACAAGGAGGCTTCAAGAAATTTGGGAAGGATTTTCCACAACTAATATACAAGTCCCCTTGCATATGTGGGTTTCCTCTCCCTGGATTTGCGGCTGTTTTTACAGAGAGGCAGGGCTATTCTGCATTTGTGGACGGGTCTGTGCCTCTAGTCACTGCTCTCGTACAATTTCAAAACCGCTCTTCTGCCCTGCTTTGCCAAAGGGGTGGCCTCCCTTTTCCTTTTCCCTCTGCAGAGTTGTTTGACACAAAGGGATGGGGGTGGGGGTGGGGGCGCCTTCACAGTCCCCTCCTATCAGTTAAAGCTATATCTCTCACTTGTATGAGCAGCACTGAGGGATGTCCTCTGGGTAAGAAGCTGCTCACCTGAAGCACTGTGCTACCAAGGATCCTTATACTAGACTGAGTTCCAAAAAATACCCATAATTTAGCCAGTGAGCATTTTAACAAATTTCTCTTGGACGAAGAGAGCAGACATCACTGAGGTGGTGGGAAACAGGAAGGTGGGCTATACTACCCCCATGTGGTCATGTCATGTTCACACAGGCAGGCCCTGGACTGAACAGGGACAGCTGGTCATCGAACCAGGACTGGACAGCACCTCAAGGGACCACAAAGGATGAGGTCATCACACTCACTGTTCCTGCCCACCACCAGAGAGCATCACAGCACAAACCACGGCCAGCCCATCCCACACGATTTTGAAGGCTGCTCTCTCCCTCCAGGGTTATAAAATGGCTGCCTGTGCTGCTAGGCCAAGGTCTCGAACCAGCTCTTTCTGACTCCCCTCCCCACACGCAAATCAGAAGCTACACCTGCAGATCCTCCAGGTGCTCGCAGGTATCAGTGGGGGCCTCCCAGGGGTGAGTGAGTATCAGACTGGGACCCAGTGGCAATGTCGACTCCAATTCAGGGTACCCAGGGTGGGAGGCAGGCCCTCCACAGGGGCTCAGGGTCACCATACACACGTAGTTTGGGATACTCACCTGGGCCTCAGTGTGCTCCGCCGGAGACGAGGAAGGCAGGGCTGTGCTGAGCTCCTGCACACACTTCTCCACGAGGGCAGAATCGGCGATGCTATTGGGGATAGAAAAGGAAAACAGCTCAAGCTGCGGGAGGGCTTCTCACTGCATGCAGGCTGGTAAGTCTCAACTTAAAGTCTGAAGTTCACCTGAAATCCAGCTCACAGGAGATGATGTCTTTTAATAAAAAAGACATGCTACAAAATTTCAGAAAATGTTATCAGATGAATGTGAGAAGGCAAAAAGTTCAAAGAAACGAGTACGCCTTAAGGCCTCATTAAGAGAATAAAATAGAACGCAGTCTTTCAGGACAGTGAACACGAACACAATGTTCCAACATAAAATGGGGCAGAAACTGGCCACACACTACGTTTGGGCCTGCTATTGTGGAGCAGGGCCATCGAGTCTCTATGCCACATCAAGATGATACCAACGCACAGTGGCCCCACGTATGACACGACTGCTACCCCGTCCTGCGCCATCCTCACAACCGTTGCTGTTTGAACCCTCCATTACAGCCACTGCGTCAATCCATCTTGTTGAGGGTCTTCCTCTTTTTGGCTGCCCCCGTTTCACCAAGCATGCTGTCTTTCTGCTTGTCTTCATGCTTGTCTCTCCTGACAACATGTCTAAAATATGGAGATCAAGTCTCTAAAGAGCGTTCTGGCTGTATTTCTTCCAAGACAGATTTATTTGGATGGGTATAGATGTATAAGGGTAGGTATACGTGTTTTCATATGTTAATAATGCAGAAGTACCTGCATGGATGTATGGCTATGTGCGGGCAGGCACAGATTCTCACTGAAGACAGTTAACTGCAGAATACAAATGGTAAAGGAGTGTTTTAATATCCCAAGGAGAATGCGGAAAGTGCCCCGCAGTTCCAGTATGATACAGCAATTCCATTATTCGGAAAATACACTCAGAGAAATGGAAGCACGTGTCGGAACTTCACACACAAATGTTTGGGCTGCATTATTCACAATAACCCATCGCTGTGGACGAATGGTCAATCCGCACACTCGGATACTACCCAGCCCAGGAGCAGCACCATGTTGGTAACGTGCAAACATGCGTGAGTGCTGTGCTAAGTGAGGACATCAGCCACCGGGGCTCGGTCAGGATGACTCCATTTTATTGCATTAGAGAGTCCAGGAAAGGGGACTCATAGACAGAATGTGCACGAGAGGCTGCGTAGGGTGAGAGATGGGAAGTCATGACCAAGAAGCATGGAGTTTCTTTTTGAAGTGATAAAAATATCCCCAAACTGCCTGTACTAATGGCTGCCCCTCTCCTTGACCTTATCAAAAACCACTGAACGAAAACCCTGAATGGGTGGATGGTACGGCATCTGAATTTTCTCTCAATGGAGCTCTTTTTAAAAGAAAGGAAAAAATGTCTAGAAAAGAATGGAGGCAACATATGTAGAAACATGCTTGATTCAACTGATGTATGGATTGTGATAAGAGTTGTATGAGCCCACAATAAAATGATGGGGAAAAAACAACAACAAATAAATAAAAGAAAGAAAGAAAGGAAAGGCATGGTTGAGGAATTTACATCCAATCACCGGACTGCTGGAAGAGGAACAGCACTGATGTCTGTTTTATTCCATGGTGGTCAAGGAAGGAAGCAGGGGAGGTCTCTTTCTCTGCAGACAAACAACCTGGAACAAAGGGACAAAGCCACGCCTGGGGCCCTCCGAGGGGTTGTTCTCTGCTTGCAGCACCCAGCACCCTCAGGGTCGCCATGGAGTGGTGAACGTGCCTGCATTCACCAGCGTTCCTCCTGCTGCCCACACCGGCCTCTCACCTACAGAGTCGCCGGAGCAGCTGGGCCTGTCGGAGGGCCTCTGTAGTGTCCCCTGGAGCGATGGCCACAAGGTTGTCCAAGAGGCTGCACATAGCCGAGAGGAGAGAGGGCGTGACCCAGACTGGAGGTTTGGGCAGAAGAGCCGAGAAGGAGGAGTCACGTGGAGGCCTTGGCCACGTCGCTTCATGCTGACCTATTGGAAAGAAGCATAAGCTCAGGGCCGTGTTCTTTGCCTGGTAGACAGGCACTTGTTCACAAGGTCTGAGCACCAGAGGGACCTTCCTGAACAAGCCGGGGAGAGGCAGAGATGGCTGGGAATGTACCAAGCTGCTCTATTCATCTGGACACCTCAGCCAGTGGTCTGCACTCCTGTTCCTTAGCTCGGCCGTCTGTGTGTCTGTCTGTGTGGTGTGCACATCTGTCCTGGGTGAGAGTGGCATTCAGAGAGGGTGATTTCTAGGTGTTCACAATCCTCTCTCTGCAACCCTAGGGGCCAAGAGTGTTTCAGAATTTAAGGCACCTTGGGATTGTAAAGGGATCATCAGGGACAGAGACCACGCATTAATCACCACCCCAGTGGGCACGTCTCCACCTGGAGTTGGGACCTGGGTTGTTCCGCATCCTCGTCTCCCTCCCTCAGGGCAGCAGGGCGGCCTGGCACTGGCCAGGCTGTGCGGTCAGGGGAATCGAGGCCTTGGCAGGTTCTGCTCCCAAGCATTTTGTGAGAAAACGGCTCCTCTTGGGGATGTTTGGGTTTTAGAAATGAAGACCAGGAATGGTGGACAATATAGTCTGCCTCCCTCCATCCTTTCCTGAAGACCTTCACTTCTCAGGTCTTCATTCAAGAAAGCCCAGGTTTAAAAGAAACCCTTCCACACAGGGCAGTGTATGAGGCACAAATCGTCACACACCATCACTCACGATCCACAGCCACCTCCGCCTCCAGCCTTCTTTCCCGGCTCATGGATGAGCTGCAGATGGAATGAATGCGTCTTTGGCCCTAAATGATGCTCTTTATAATCACAACCCTTCCTTTGTATGACTGCAGTCCAGAGATCAGTCAGGAAAGGAGCCCGGATGTAGGCGTAGCCTCTAATCAACAGGCCTGTTCCTGAGAAAACACAGGGAAGAGCTGCTCTGCCCACTGGTTTGCTTTTAACAGGACCCCACTGATTGGCTGGGCTAGCTCCACATTCTGTCTTCACTGTTTCGGGAAGAGGGGTTAACACCATCCACTAGTGCCTGAGGCTCCAATTTCACTCACCAGGCCTCGTGCTTCACTCAGGAGCAGCCAGGTGGAGGCAGGCTGTAAGCCCCATGTATCGGCCAAGAGTATCTGTCTGAGTTTCTGGGATACTGGTTGGAACCTTCAGCTGTGACTTATTTCATAGTGGTAGCACCTATCTGAAAAGCTTGTACCCGGTTCTGTCTGCGGCGACATGTCCCTTCTGCTTTGGGGGGCAGGGAGCTCTGAGAAGCATACCTGGGACCACGAAGTGCTCTGCAGTTGCTTCCACGGCCAGCGCTGCCGGCGATACCAGAGACCTGAACTCAGCACTGCCTGCTGAAGGTGCCACCTATGACACAGGACAGGGAGTTACTCGAACGTCCCTGTCACCACGGTGAAAATGGAACCCAAGTGGCATTTACCAAGAACCTCCTTGTGCTAGACGGTTTCTAAGAAAACCACATCGTCACTGTTGCCAGGTGCCGTCCAGTCGGTTTTACGCACAGTGGCCCCAAGTAACGCAGATCAAAACAGCTCCCGGCCCTGCGCCCTCCTCGCAGCTGTCCCCACCGGTGCGCCCACTGCCACAGCGACTGTGTCAGGCTGGCCTCCCTCTTTCCTTGCCCCGCTCCTGTACAAGGCAGGCTCTCCTGATAACACATGCTCAGTCTGCCAATTGAAGTCTCATCACTTGGCTTCAGCAGTAGCACACCTGAAACCACTCCATCTCCAGAGACCTAATACATCTGTGAATGTCATTTCCTACTTTCCAGATAGAGTCTGTTATCATTCACATAGACCAGAACCTCAAAAACAACAAAGTCCATTTAGAAGCCAGTTCCAGCTTACTACCCTAAAGAGGCAAGGCTGGGCAATGAGATTGGAGGGACAAGTCACTGTGTTCCTGGGGTGATCTGCATTTCTTAACTGAGAGTAAAAGGTTTGTCTTCGTAAAATGTTCCCAGAGGTGCACAAAACCTTGAACAGTGCCTATCAAATGATAGAAGCACGAAAAGCATTTTCTATACCTTACCCCATACCAGAAAGAAGTGGAGACACGCACAAACAGCACTGTTAGCGGTGCATTTCAGAGCGCAGTGCTTGTTAAAGCACGCCATAGACGTTCTGTTTCGGTGAACCACAGTCACCCGTGGGTGTAGAAACCACACCCCACCCCCAAGCCCCATGTGAGAAAGACCCCACCTGGCGTGGGCAGGGCACCCTGTTTCTCAGACAGCACACGCCTCCCATACACAGATTCCCTCTGCGCTCAGAGTAGGAGCGGCCAGCGTCACTCAGAGGGAGAGCAGCTTCGAAGGACTGCTGTGTACACAGCATGACACTAAAGTCGGTCACCCGAAGGAGTAGATGAAAGCAAAATGAAGGCTATTTGCACTTGCAGGACCCAGTGGTAAAGAGAAAGTAGACTTAGAGAAATCGGGAGGAATACAATTAAAAACCCCTTTTAATGTCATGAGGGCTGGTCCTCTCTCACCTCTTGGAGCAGAACGGGCAGTATGAGGATAGCAGGGAGCAAGAGAAGGCCGGGAACCTGGATAGATGTGTCAAATGAAGAGCACTCAAAAACACATACACATTAAGCGCCTTCAAATGAGCCGCAATTGCGTCTTTGTAAAAGCAGAGCTGTCTACAAGTGGTTATGGAACTCCGAATGGAAAATGGGTCCTGTGACCAGACAAGAAGGCGCTCACACACCTGTGAGGGGCAGACTCCTGACACCAAGCCTGAGATCACATCTAAGACACACACCTGGCTCCTGCCTCAAACTCCATGGGTTTTTTTCCTGTGAAAATGATAATGATGCTGAAAACCTTTTTTACCAAAGACTTTTCCCACCAGCATATGAATCAGAAAGCGCTGTTGTTGACACTAACAAAGATCCCTCTGCCTCCACACACCCCGGTAGTGCAGTGTGTGAAGCATCAGGCTGCTAATCCAAAGGTCAGCAGTTCCAGCCCTCCCTCCAACTGTTCTTTGCGATAAAGATGTGTAGTCTGCTTCCCTGGAGACTTCCAGTCCTGGAAATCAATCCTGTGGAGCAGCTCTACTCTGTCCCATAGGGTCACTAGGAGTTGTAGTTGACTCCTGGCCACAGGTTTGGGATTGGCATTTCTAGAATTATTCCAAGAACCTCTTAAGAATGATGATTACATTTAACACCCAGGAAGCTTCCTCAAAATAATATCCACAGGCACGCAAGTTCTTTTCTGAGACTGTTCACTGAGAATCCGAGATAATGTTACCTTACATATTTCAAGGTGGTCCGGGGATGAGATTTCTAAGGAAACTCAGGGAAAGCCTGTCTTCATCTCAAACTTATTCATCCCAAATACAACTTTTCAACAACATACGTGGTACTATACACGTGGACTTCCTGCAAGTAGAATACATAGGCCCAGGGCAGCCACCTCCATGGAGCAAAACAATGGAAAGGCAAAACAAGGTCCAGAGCTGACGATGGAACAGATCACCAATTGCTCATATACAAATTAGGCAAAGCTTAAGAAAAGCAAAACAAGTCCACATGAGTCAAACAAGACCTTGGGTCTATTGCATCTGAATTCCTAAACCCCCTCACTAGCACATTCGCCACACTGACCACTAACAATGAAGGCCAGTGAGCTGTGGGCATCTTCCACGAAGTGAGAAAAGGTCACTGCAGAGACTGGAGAAGGAAAGATCATGTTTCACAAGGGACTCCAACTTGCTCTTGAATGTTGAATAACTAAAGCAAATAGAAGAAATAAGGACGTAAAATACTAACTGAGGAATTCCAGTCTTCAGAGTATTACAATGAAAAGAGGTCAGAAAAACAAAAGGAAAGAACACACTTGGCATTTTTCAAGTTAACTCACAGCCATCCAGTCAACTGACCCCTAGGAGCCCTAGCTGCCCTTGGCTCCCCACGGCTCCGCACCGTGTCAGGAGCAGGCCTCCTCTTTCTCCCACAGAGCAGCTGGAGGTTTCATGAAACAGGGCAGTAACAGATTACTGTTTATTGAGCACTTAATATGCAGAAATAACTAAAGAACACACCAGGATTTCTAGGCTAGCCTATCACCCTTCATACAAACAGGGCAGCCCACAAAGATTTACTAAGTAGGTATTGATGCTGCCCTTTGGGGAGCTACATCTTCAGTTACTCCAACTCATTTTGGTACTTAAAATTATTGCTTCTCTTGATTAGAGAAAGATATGTACTATCTCTAGTCTGAAAAGGAAAGCATGACATTTGCTAGAACTGGAATAATTATCTCACTTGTCCAAATAAAGGTCATTTCATACTAAACCCAATCTGTTTTATGTTCAAAAAAAGAAAGAAAAGATTCTTAAAACTTTAGAAAATGGTACTTCAGCAAATTGAACAGCTCATGAGAAACTGCAGGAGGTAAATCTTATGCCTGTATGATTATTTATTATTCCCATATTATGCTCTATCTTCCCTCTGGGAAGCAGGGCTGTCAAGCCATTGCCTCCCTAATAGAGCCTATAACACAGTAATTATTCCCAAAATTCTAAAATGAAATGTAGGATTTTCCAGTTGAGAATACATGATTTTGTATGCTTGTAAATTGATTCAATCAGGTCATTAAAAAAAAATACTTAAACGTCTCATACTTTTTTGAAAACAAGCAACTTATCCGTGAATTTAAAATGCGAGTGAATGGGAGACAAAGAGAAGCAGGCAGGCATACATTCCAGGTGTTTCCATTCATGAAGCTCAAGGCAGACCCACCATGCGAGTCACTTCAGTGGGGCGACTTGCTCCAAACCGGGGCTTCCCTCCAGGAAAGGGGCAGGGTCAGCAAGCATTTTTCATCATCTGAGCTCTGTTCTCTTTGATAAATGCCTAGCATTGTTTGTATCACACTTCTGTCTAAAGAAGATGGAAGGGAGAGGGAAATCTCTCATCTACAAAGAGACGCTCAGGACAACAGGTGTACCTGTGGTGGAGTTTAGATGCCAGTTCTGCAAGGTGACTTTAGGATGGACCTACATTGATGATGCAGAGACTAAACAAGACCACTTATGTAGACACCTCGCAGAGCTCTGTACAGACAGCCCTCCCATCACCCGATCTTGCAGTTCACAGCTAGCCCTCCCTCTTCCCCTCTAGACCCACAGACTGCAGATTGGGCACTCTTTGCAAGTACCATTGTTTCCGAGGTGGAGAGAGAACTTGGATCTTGGTCTTGACTGGAGAGCGTAGACGGAGTCCTCCAGAACTTGAAGGAGTCATCTAAACCTGGGGTGATAAGAAAATTGTTCAGTAGGATACTCTTCTGAACAGCTGATAGAAAGAAAAGATTCATTGGATCAAATCCATCAAAAACTAAGAGAAAAGGCTTGCCTAATTTTTATTAGCGCTACTTAGCTCACAGGTGAAGCTTGTCTCACAAGGTTAGTACTTAATGAGCACGCATGCATGATAAGATTATTCATGTGCAGCCCTGGAAACCCTAGGGAGCAGCTCATGCTACTCCACCCCAGAGGGTTGCTACAGCCCTGGAAACCCTAGGGGGCAGCTCATGCTACTCCACCCCAGGGCATTGCTACAGCCCTGGAAACCCTAGGGGGCAGCTCATGCTACTCCACCCCAGGGGGCTGCTGAGTCACAACCAACCTGATGACTATGGGCACTTTTTTTTCTTTACAATTCAATGGTTTAAATATAT